ACGGTATACGGTGCCTTTTCAAACGGAATGGCCTCTTTTTTGAAAATTGACGACCCGTGACATGAGAATACTACAGGGACATGGTGGTTGGCAACTCCTCGCTTGCTGTGGGCACAGCATCATATGGGAACGTAGCGGATCAGGCATCTGGAGTGGCAAAGCCAGCCACCGGATCTGAATCCTATAGAGCACATGTGGGAAAAGCCTAAGAGTAGTTGTTCAAACGATCTTTCTAGGAGCAGTGAAGAAACATCCGCTTGGCGAGGGAGTGAACCCACTATGCCGGTGTCTACCATACAAAGACTAATCGACTCGATGCATTTTCGTTGCAGTGCTGTCATCAAAATCCAAGACGTTTCCAGCAAATATAGAGGTTTATGGTGTTTTCCAAGTTGTTGTTCAGAAATGAGGCGATTTTTCTTAGGTCAATACTATCTGTATTTTCCACTTAAATTTAATTCGATCTCACTAATGTACCGTCAACAATAGCTAATTGCAGTTTAATAGCGGTAAGTATTCATAATATCCCCTTGATTAGCATACTAAAATTTTATGTGATTTTATGGAGTAAGAAAAAAGTTACAGATGAGGAAGCGCTTCACCAAGATTTTGGCAGCTGCTGTACGTTCTCATTTTGCTTTCTCACAACATATGCCCTGAACGCTTGCAAAACCTTCTCGCGCTTCATATTGACAACCTAAGAAATTTCTGTTCACCTGAGGTACTGGAAAATGAGAGTCCGGAAAGGGTTTTTCGTGGCCTCCACTAAAACTTCTAAGTGTTCTTCTGCACCAATCACTCAAGATGGTATGAAATTCGCCCCGTGTGCTTTCGACAAGCAACGGTCGAAAGAGCCGTCCGACAGGAGTCCTAGCCGAAAGAACGACACCCCTCACTTTCGAGCGAGACTGTCACCTCTTTCGAAGCCAGAAATGGGTAGCTGCAGGGAACCTGATATCTTTGAAATAATACTCTTGGAGCAATAAGTGATCAGTTTGGATGAACACAACCCAGTATTTGTAAAGAAGTCATTTACAGGGTAATCGCGTTAGGACACAATACTACGGCCTCAAAACCCTGCCCATTCTAAGCTCGCTTTGAAGTTTTCTTCTACGGTGCAACAATTGTTGCCTTATATCGTTTTCTGGGGAAAAAGAATGAAAATGATGATAAAAATGGTGAAAATCGCTGTCGTATGATAAGAGTGTAGCATTAATCTAGTAATAACTTCTTCTTTTAAATTCTTCACTGATTTTCAAAGGCCGATAGATAGATCCACTCGTTTTGCAATCGTCAAAACTAACACCATAATTCGTCGAAAATGAGGTAATTTGGGGGAGAACGTTCTCGATTACTGCCCTCAACTCTCATAGTCGACGTTCGGTCATGTTGCAACAAATATTGTTACTCATGCATGAAGGAGTCTTTTTTCTTTACTCGGATGAGGAAGGCTATGAATTCCCCTACCTGCACCATAGAACTAAAGCTCATTGGCGAAACCACAAAGTTGAAGGCTACATTCTATTATGCAACTTCCACATACCAAAAAAGGTATGAGCTCGCTCTCTTTCGATCGTTTCTTGCTAGGTGGTGATCGTTTTAGGTCGCAGTAACCAAACTCCCACAATAATACGGTAACACTACCCTCAGGCTGAAAATTGAACGGGTGACGCGCTTAAAAGTGTTTTGACCCAATAAATGAGATGAAATATTTTCTGAAGTTCTGAAGCTCCTTTTAAACACTTGTTTGGAATTCCTCTTTGCTTCAGCCGCACCACTATTGGGACCAGTGAAGAGCAATAAGAACTTCCTCAACTTTCAGTACATATTCTCAAAATGTGAGGAAGACTGTATATATGTAGTTAACATGAAGCGCAAGGAGGTTTTGAAAATGTTCAGGACCCATTTTGTGAGCCATCTTTGATGTAGCACCTATGAGTCCGTTCCCATTCCAACTTTACACAGATCATCAAGCTACTCGGTTTTCTAAGCACAGGTGTAACTCACGACGAAAAAAGAAAACTGTTCCAAGTTTGAAATTGACTCTTTAAGCTGTACAACCGAGATATTAACAAACTTTATTAGGCTGACGTTTCGGTGCCTTCACCTTCCTCGGAGCCTGGAAAGACAAAAGGCACTTGAGAAACCATCCGATCAAGCACTATTTCAACCTACAAAGAAAGTTTACTGTTCCGTTACTTTGCACCCAGAAAGGTTTCGCAGGTTTGGAACGCAGGTTCGAAACCAGCGTTTGAAAACACCTACGGCGTATACATCTCATCTCGAATGGGCATGGCGTTCGAGTAGCGATCCCTTGTAAAATAAGAAGAAGATTTTGGAAGGTGGATCGCGTGGAAGAGTTTGCTTTGGTATGAACATGGAAGGGATTAATGTTTCTTCAACCCTAATAAATCAAATACTATACGTACATGATAAAATGAACCTGCATATAAAAGTCAAGCTGTTGCCTCGCTTCTGCACATTAGCATTTTTACAATGCTTAGCTTCAGCAGCTACTATTTCATATAATTTCTTAACCAATTTGAGTAGCTATTACTTCATATCATTTCTTAGCTAGACTTCTTGGAATTGCCTTCAAATGATTTGAGTTCTTCGAGAATAGACATCTAATCGTGATACAAGGTTATGCTCTTCCAGAAAACAATGAAGAACCAAATTCTTCGGTTAAAGACTCGCTCCAAGTAATATACGTCAAATCAACGATGTGGATATACCTGCTGAACAAATCCTGATTATTTTTTTCGCGGTACAATGTTCCGCTTGAAACCATCGCCTGCTACTAGTGGGAGAAGGCGTACGTAGAGTCTTTGGAGCCATCTAATTGAAAGCGGCTTGCTTGTACCAAGGACTTGGGTAGAATGATCTGGTCCGACAACAGCTGGATGCCGAGAACACTGACCTGCCGAGCTCTTCATTAGTAGATGAAATGCACCATAATCACATCTAATGCAGAATTCCAGTTTTGTTTGTACAGCCTGACCTGTGAAGATATTCCCAAAGGTGATGTGTAAGATGAGGAACGGATTAAGCACTAGAAAAGTCAGAGGCAAATCTTTTCACTTAAGTAGTGGTATTCAAGACGAGAATGTCACTCATGAAGAGACTCTTCTTCCGCACTTTCACCACTTGAAAGTATTTGGTTGAAATCGTAATTAGCGCCTAAATTGATATTTGTAGATAGGTAAAGCACATTGGATACTGCTGTGGTCAAAATTGATGCTCTCTTCTGGAAAAGAGATAAAACTCTGCAAAGAATCAGCTAACTTTGAAATGCTTCATCAAATAATGCGTGGCAAGAACGCGAATTAGCCTTCACGATATATAGTTGTAGCGAACAATTCGACCATGTCCCTGTTTATTCTACTTTTTGTAGTATAAGACCCAAATGACTTCAGATTTTTCGAGAAATACATTTCAGTTCACTCATCTTGCTCTCGGTTCTAACTGTCACTGTTAACAGCACCACCACGATCAACAATGAGGAGGTCTAGTTCTGAGTCTCTTATTTATTACATATTTACTTGACAATGATTTTCATGCCTTTTTGATGGTTTTGAAGTTTTAATTGTCCCTGTTATTGTAGTTCATCGACAACGCAGAAGTGGCGATCATTGACACGATCAGAAACATAGGAAATGGAACCCGCCACACGTTCTATCTCACAACGAAAGCAAAGGAAACACTTCAAGAACTTGAGGTACCTATTGCTCATTCTATTTGTGGTTTCTTTCACAGCCAAGACCAAGACCTCGTGGTGCACATGGGGAGGTAACAATCTTTTGGAGGAGTTTGTGGGCAGTGTCCTTTATCTGGATGGAATTCAAGAAGTGAAACGGTTAAG